CAAAACGCCCGTAACTAAGAAACAAATGCTAATTCGATGATGCCGGCTGGCACACTGATTCACTATGAATGTAGGCCGCACCCCTTAGCGGCAGAAGCTCGTACTACATCCGGTTCGCCTTCTATTGACACAGTCTAGAAACTTTCCGATCGCACCTCGTACTATTGCTGAAGAGGTGTACAAAAGTTTGAATTAATTTCTGACGTCAAGTGGAATTCAGTGGTCCAAATACGTAGGAATAAGCACAGGTGAGACGCGTGTCATGTCTGGGGAACTAATTGGACACATTTCACGAAAAATGGAAAATATTTCTTCAGTTACTCGGCATAATTGTTACATTAACCGAGAACCGTTAGCCACTAAGATGCCAGAAGAACTGAAAAAAAAAGGTAAAAATCTCGATTTTTATCAAAGCCAGGTCACTAAATTCAAGGATTTTTGATCAGATTCTGTCAGTCAGCTCTGATGCGTATACAAATCTGACGTTGTTTCGGATTTTTGAAATTAAGAGATGACATCAGAGTTTTCTTTATTGATCTGGAATCTCCGTTCGCTGGAATGACTACTTTTAATTAGCCATGCTGGTGTATATGACTGACGTATTTACTCATTCAACTGCACTCAACTCGAGCATGCAAGGAGGGATCAACATTTTTAATGTCGAAGACGAGATCGAGGAAGTGATCAAAAGGCTAGAATTGTGGACTCGTCGCTTATCAAAAATAAATTTCAATGCTTTTAAGAACCTGAAGACCATCCTAGAATCTTCTGATGAAGAATTATCAAACGAAGTCTTGGCATTCTTTTAGTCAGCATCTGCAAGATCTTCGATGCAGTTTTCGCGAGTATTTTACACCTCCAGATGAAAGTAAATACTTGGTTACAGATTAATTTAATGCAGATATTGACAAATTAACGGACTGCTAGCATCAGAAGAAAATGGCTGAAATATGTACAAATGGTGCACTAAAAATTATATTCTCTGGCGAATATTTTACAGCATGTACGAAAGGATTATCCCGAATTATCGTACAAAGCACTGAAAGTTTTTAATTCCATTACACACCACCTATTTATGTACAAAAACGTTCTCAGCTGTTACGTACTTAAAAATAAATACAGAAACCGCTTAAGAAATGTATAATTTGACCTCAGAATTCAACTCTCAGAAATAAAACCAAATATTGAAAAGCTAGTCGCTGAGGTGCAGCATCAACCTTCCAATTAAAATTAAAATTCTTTTTTTTTTGTATATATTTTTTTCGTTTGTGAATTAAGTAAAATATATATTTTTTTTAATTTCTGTATTTCTTGTTTGTGGTGTTTAGGTCCAAATCGTAGAAATGGCTTAGGGGCGACTTCCAGTAGTGATTCAGTCGGCGTCTGCAGAAGTCAAAAGGTTAAAAACCGCTGTTCTAGCTGAATTCGCGCTAGAAAGAACATTCACTCAATGCTCTTTGTATCACAGCTGAAAATGAATATTTTACAACTAGCAAGGTTTTTTTATTTGCCATTAGAGACTGAAGATTTATTTTCCTTTTGCGGCGTGAATTTGCAGTCTTGACAAAGACGAAAAAATGTGTCTGTCATGCTTGAGTGAAAATGTTTTAATTTTATTAACACATTAAGACGTCTGTTATAATGACTAAACTAAACATGTTTACTCGTCTTTGGCAAGTGGTTTTATTCTGTCTGTTATGTACAATTCCAGACAAGAAGTTCTAATGATCACACAAACATGTTATCTGTGATACACAAGCAAATGTTATGGAAAAATTGTCGATTAAAATGTACATACAAACTTCCTAGATTCATTTAGCTCTACAATTTTTTAATTATTACCGAAACTGTGAACAACATATGTACTGTTAGAACTGAGGCTTTCACAGTCATTAGTAGGGTTCGGATGTTCATGACAAGTCATATTTTTATTGGGGCTTCTATTGTCATTCTAAACTGAAATTAAACACTAATTGGGTTATTTTAATCACAATTAGACTGTATTAATTTTGCATATAAATGCATATTTAGGTCATTTTTATGTTTTCGGTCATATTTGTAGTTAAATGCATATTTTGATTATATTTTGAGGATAAAATTCATATTTTGGTTATATTTTTGGTATAAAATTCTTACTTGTAACTACATTTCTCAGGCATTTACAGTGAATCCTTCATTTAGTTAAGATGCCGAAAGTTAAATGTTCTGAAAGTGCGAAGTTAAGAGGTTTCGTTAAAGATTTTGGCGAGAAATATTTTAGTTCTGATGGAACAATTCTGTTCTGTAAACTTTGTGAAGTTAAAGTTGCAGCTGGTAAGCGATTTAATGTGAAACAACATTGTGATACTGACCCATGCCTTATGGCTCGAAGTTCTTTGGAGTAGGCGGCTTTGAGACCCTGATCAGA